CCCCCCCCCCCCCCCCCTTTCCCAGCGAGCAACCCGTTGAGATTGCGCATAAAGCACAACCGAGCACGGAGACCGCTTTCTCCTCCTGGTCGCCTCAACAAGATTGATCCGGTCGACGTTACCCCCTTGCCTTGCACACTGCCACCGCCGATGACGACAACACCCCACGCGTGTCGCCCCCGTCCTCTCGACGGCGGCGTTCGCGACCACGGCCTCAAGCGTTCCCAGAGGGATTTCGTGTAGTCGTAGTGGTTGTCATGGATTGGCCAAGAAGCGATGGACCGTTGGTGGATCTTCCTGAACACTGTCCGCCTCTGAGCAACGATCGCGGTAATGGCCTGGGTCTGCTGCGTAGGAAAAAGACACTTCGTGACGCAGGTACTACTAGCACGAGATTCAGAGAGACATACCGCCCCCCCCTGAACGAACTGTGCAGTTCCATACCTCGACAACAACAGCTGAGGCATTTCAAAGCCACCAAGATCGACCCACTCTGGCGAGGGGCCATACTTCGAAGCTTGAAAGCACTAGACCAATCTCGGCGAGTACCAAGCCACAGGTCGCCGTCCACGCACGCACACGAGAGCAGCCAAATGAGCACCACCACCTCCTCAGTCCTTTGCCTGTGCTCTACAACACGATACCCCGCTGTGACAATAGTATCCGAGTGCTCCCCCCCCACCTTCTTTCTCTGATGCCACACCCTCTTTCGTGCTGTGGCCGCTGCGGCTGCCACCGCCGTAACCAAGAATGTCGTCCATCACCGCGGCCGCGCGCGATTGGGAAGCGGAGGAGGACGTGAGCGACGCCGCCTCCACACCCTTCTCGTCCAAACTCCGGAGCTGCGTAGGCGAGAGTGTAGGTGGAGGGTGCGGGGGGTAGAATGACTCTGTCGCCGGTCGCCTATGTCGTCGTCAACGATTCGGCTGGGCAACAACCAAAGTGACGACCTACAGCGCGCGTTGCTTTCCCTTGGTAGGCGTACGACCAAGGTCTCCGCGGTGCTGCCTGAGGTTCTCGCGCAGAACCATGAGCTTTCTACTTGTCGGCAAAAGACGGCGCGTCAGCAGCATCGCCATTGACAGCATCAACACGGCTCGTGCTGGTCCAGGAGCGTTCTACTTGTCGGCGAAAGAAAGACGGCGTGCCACCGCCAGCACCAGCATCAACAGCGCAAAAGGGTGCAGACGTACAAAATAGACGGAGCCGGGAGTACACCCGGCCGCGAAGCAACGAAAAAAATATAAGGTTCTCGAATTTTGTATTTTGGCCTACAGTAGCTTCCGCGCTCTTCAAACCACCTTCTGAGACAGCAGCTCCTCCGCGACATTTACCAAGCGAGCAAAGCCACCCCAGGGGGGGGACCGCCTGCGCGAGAGAAGATAAGCTTATTCGGAAATAGAACAGGGAGGGGGTACGCAGACCCTACTTCCTAATCCTAACCGAAACCCAACTTCCACGATTGCATGCCTTGTCCTTATCCAACATGTTTACTCAATTGGAAAAACCCTGCCAAGGCTGTTGCTTGGGGATCGGATCGGCGGCATCCAAGTACCTGGTCCTCCGTGAGAGCGATGAGCGGGCTGACGACGACGCAAACACCGTCGGCGACGACCGCCGGCAGCTGATAGCACAGCGACTTCCCGCCCCCGGTGGGCATCACCACCAGGGCGTCGTGGCCGCTCGAGATTTCCCGCATTGCCTCCTGAAAGCAAAAAAAAAAATGTCATGAGGCGGGGTCCTTGTTGAGCCAGAAGGCTCGCCTGTCCGGCGGGGAAGGGTACTCGTCCCAATTGTTTCGGAGAAATGTCCGCCTGCCGACGCCTATACTACGAGAGTTGCTCCTGATTGGCTCGATCGTGCCTGGTATGTACTTGCGTCTACAACAGCAAAAACAACCATCTCTCGAGTTTAGTCATGTCAGCGCAACGCAACGCAGGACTCGAAACCTCTTGTTTCCCGCGGAAGCCCTGGTGCCCGAACACGTCGCGCAGCGCCCGCAGCAGCTTCTCCCGCCGGGTCTCCCACAACACGTCGGCGACGCCTCCCCGGTGCGCCATACCATCGGAAAAAATAAAGAAAACTGCGTCTCTTGTCCCCGCCAAGAATACGCCTGATGATGAATACGCCGAGGGGGGAGAGGGGGGCGGATTTTCGCATACCGGTCGGCGAGGAATGTAAGGTGCTTTCGTTGTTGACTCAGGAGATCGGAGGAGGTTTGAATTTGTGCTTGGACGTTGGGTTGGGCTCTTCTTGTTCGCGAGGAAGCACGGAGAAGTGTAAGGGTTGACCTATATAGGAAACCGTTTCGCCTCTCACGAGTGTGTGATATACTCATAATATTAATTTTTTGCCATCATGTCGGACGCACGAGTGACTGCCGAATGGTGCCGAAGCGGGGTGGCCATTGCTTCTTAGATTTGTCGACGCTGCCACCTGCTAGCTCAAGTATTTTTTATCTGTTGTGAGTGAATGTTTCTTGCACCAGCATCGACCGCGAGTAACCTGCTGACCAATGAAAAGACACCAATCTTACGGCGGGAGGAAAAACGCCAACACGCTTTCGCTACCGACACCGGGGCGCAGGGGGTGGACGACAGTAGTGTCCTGCTTCTGGTGTGTGTGTGCCGAGCTCGCTCTGCTGCATGAATGTGTGTGAGGCCTGCACACCAGTCCGAGCTAGACTTACGGGAAGGAGCGTCCCCACGGATCTGTGCGATTCTGTTTCCAGAAACCAACGCGCCGTTTTTGCGCGGAACTCTCAGTCTGGTTCGGAACAAAAAAAAAGGCAGCCACTGGTGGTGGCGGCTGCTGCTGCTGCATCCTTTGCCCGACTTCTATTTTCGAGTGGTAGATTTAATCTTCTGGAGAGGGTGTGCCATGTTGTGTCACCCTGTAACGTACCTGATATGAGATGACCGTGACTCTATGGGTCGTTACTGAGCCGTAAATCAAGCCACAAACGCGTGTCGTGTCCTGTATGGAATTTCGCACTAGTTCCTGGGTGTGATGCCCTATCGTATGCATACAGGTACAACACCATCGGTTGCATCAGACACCACCCCGGAACATATTTTCACAGCTCGATTGCCCTACAAAGAAGAGAACGGTAAACAACAAATGAATATTGTAATAGTTTTTTTGAAGAGAAGTGGCCCGATAGGGGACGCTTCTTGTTTTTCAAGAAGAAGCTGTTTAGAGGGGGGGTGGGGGGGGGGGGG